TGCTCATGGTTTTTATAACCTCATGCTGAGTCTGAGTTTGTTCACCCGACAACTGCCTCGGCAAACAGCATGCGTGGCTCATGCCCCAACCAACGCAGTCTATGTAGGTTGATTACTTGCTCCAGTGGACGACCACAATTACCTAAATTTTTGCATCGAACCTAAACATTGCTTGCCTGGTTTCATCATCAGACACGTGTTATGAGGCTAAGACAGCGGTGTTTGAAAATAAACGGTTTAGGCTTTTCCTGCTTTTGTAATGGCCAAGTTTCCATACCTTATAGTAAAACTCGCCAAACTGAAACAGCATACACTGTTCTTCACAGAAAACCGGATATCGCGACGGTGCCACAAATGTCCAAAGTTGGCAGATGTCAACCGGACCTTCTGTGTGCCTGTCGACACTTCATCCGTGATGCGTCCACCAGATGAGNGCTCAAATAACAAACTTCGTTCATCAACTCTATGACGTCTCCAGTTAGAATGAGACTGGAAACTGAACCACCCCAGTCCATTAGTGACCTTTTACAATTTGTAGGTGCAAAATGCATGGCTACAGTAGCATTCAAACGACACAGGAATGGTTGTATATTACCTGGATCTTTGCTTAGCAGAGCCCTGTCCTCATACATACTGCAGATCAAACAGCCTTCGATCTGGGAGCTAATCGATTCCACCATTCTCGCACGAAGACAGGGGCGTTTTTAGTTTAGAGCAATCTCAAAACTGAAATTAACTTCTCGGGCACGCTCTCCAAAGAGAGGCATTGCCGGAGTATAGAGCAGTCAACGGAGTCTAAAGCCGCTTTCGGATCTAGAAAGACCGAAATGATGGGTCTACCAAGTGTCTGTGTTGTAAATTTGGTGAAGGGCGAAAATATGGTCTATACAACCTCAATCATGTCTAAAACCAGCCTGATTCTCACCGATGCACTCCTCGCGTGTGGCAGACAATCCACAAAGCATGATCCCGGCGAGAATTTCAGAAGCAATACCGATTAAACTAAATCCTCTGTGGTTTTCACACGCAAATCTGTCACCTTTCCTGAAAATCGGTAATTCACACCATTCATTTGGAACCTGTTGCCCATCCCTTGTTGAACCCAGGATTTTTGTCAACTCCAAAACCAAGACAAAACCTTTCATTCTTTTTTCATTTTACTTCTTTTATTGAATATACAAAGATACAAATTTCATTTCCATTGTTAAAAAAGATGGGGCACCCCCCTCTGAGCCGGAAACCTTATTCCTTTTGAAATAACAGATTTCCCCATTGCAGGTGGAGAACTGATATCAACTGGCAGTAGTTACCCAGCTGATGTAGGGGTTGACAAACCTAATATCGAAGGAGGTCAGTTGAACTGAACCTCGAAATGTTCAGCCCATCGCTTAAGACGGCGTTGCTGATTATTATTCGATGTCTCTCATAACCTCAATTAGGCTTATTTTCCTTGGGTCCGTACTGCTAACTAAATGAAAAAGATTGCGACTATTACCGATAGCCACAGTCCTTTCTATCCCTCTACACATTCCGACCTACCGCTTCTCGTGGTCATTCCTCAGACTCCCGATTAGCAGGTATTTAAGGGATTTGCACGCTGTCACAATTGACATCTGGAGGAATGGTTGTGCGGCAATCCCGCACAGCATCCGAGGTTGGTGATATCGATCGTTTGTGCTTTGATCGCGCGCTAGAATCCGCCGTTGTTTTGATTGACATTTGGATAGAGTCTCTGATTAACGTCCAATGTTCATTGTGGCCTTCGAGACTTGGTTGAACTAAGGGTGATCGAGGAGGTCTGCCCCGAAGGCTGATTAGCAACTACTGTTGACATTTTTTGGACATCCGTTCACTGTGACCTTTTTGCGGTTGTTTACTGGGCGTAAGGAGAATTTGGCACGTAACAAAGTGTGGTCCATATCCACGGGTGTTGACTTATGACAACAGCACTCTTGAATAAACCCCCTCCAGCGGTAAGTGGTTACCACGTGTTAGATTTGAGTTAATCGCTGTAAGGAGGTAGAAGGTTTCCATATGAGGTGGTGTCGTTTTTTGTGTGAGAAAATGTTGCCCGATACAAAATATCCGTATTCTGTGCAGAGTTGAAGTAGGCAATCCCCTTTGTCTTTCCGGCTGGCTGGGCTTGCGCGTTCGCCGCCTACTCGCCTTTCTGACTCGTCCAGATATCCCACTTGAGCATTCAAGTCTCCAATCGACCATTGACAGAGCACCTTTGAGCAGTTGAGAAAGATCTATGTAGAATTCATTCTTGATTTCAGGTACACTACAACTAGTTGACGCAAACACGGACACAACGAATAAGCGCCGATGCTTCGCTCTGCAGCTGTTGACTCGGCATGAGCCGTCGAGAGGTACAGCTCACAGTGGGCTATTGACTGGAATCAAGTCAAGAAGCGAGCGCTGAGCCTTGGCAGTTAGCTCAAGTCGGCAATGGCAACACCACGAGCTTCAGATGCCGAATCGCCTGAGTCATGGAGAATGAAGCGTGAGGATGAGGGTGGATCTGGAGAGCTCAAGTTGATCATGTTAATCTTGTATGCGTGTTTCCGAGACACCGCCTAGGTTCAAATGAAAAATTTTAAACGTTCTAGTTAAAGCAGCTTGTTGGCTGGTTCGATAAAGTATTCGGACATTGAGTACAGCCAAGTGTAGCGGAGGTTTTGGTTTCATCAACGCTTTTGTTTGGGTGACCTTAATGGGGAAATGCTGAGTGATATCCCATGGGTGGCGTAAACAAGAGGTAGTGGCAGTGAGTGAAAGAACTAGACAGATGAGAAAGAGGATTTTCCAACCGGGTGCCTGAGAGTTTAGTGAAGTAACCCACGCCGACGAAGAGGTTTTTCTGTGTGAAACTTAACCAGAGCCTTCGACTCTAAAGTCCGACCCACAAAGCTGTGGGGTGTAGATCTAACTGAGGAGCGCAACCGAAGCACAAATGTAGGAGCTTCTAGAGACCTTTATTGGCTGGGGGCTGCCCTGGTTGAGCGGTTCAACTAAGGGCGAAGAATTCTCCCCCCGTCGAGAGGAAACTCTAGGCGCCCCGGTTCTACGTCCATCTATAGGGGTTTTAGCCGGTAAATTTTTCATCCCGTGCCTATTCGCTGAAATGATCTCCCCGGGGGTGACAGTGGATCGTCAGAGGGAACCAGGAGGTGCCCAGTCAGCTGACCTTGTGAGGTTGAGCTTTGTCTGGCCTCTGCGCATCGACTATTGAGACATGGTTGGAGCTGTGACTGTGGAAAGCCATCGCACGGTCATTGAGGCACGCAAGCTATCACATCACGTCAAGGTGCAGTCTCATCGTGATAGTTGAGCACGTATGTGCACTTTTTAACCATCCAAGATGTCATTGTAATTTGGAATCGTTTTGTGCAAATGTCGGACATGGTGGAGTAAGATAATTCAAGGGAGGAGGAGAGGGGAAGTTAGCATCAGTGTCACCATGTCATGACCTCGGTGACTCCTTGAGCTCGTCACATGTGGCTATATCGAGATCCACGGACTGGAAATGCATTCCTCAAACCCGGTAAGGGGTTCGTTAGACGCAGGCCGTAGAGTGTATCATGAACTTTTGTGACTGACCTGTCCAATTCAGTTAGATCAAAGACAAGTGTGACGGTCGTTCACGATTTCCACAGGGTGTCAGCACATCGATCGATTGAAGATCTAAGAGCTCACTCCACATTTCAACTCACCTGCGCGGTCAATCATAATTACCGTCGAATGTTAGCACCATCACCTTAGTGCAACAGAGCCCGTCGGTCAACTGAATTTTGCTTCCATCAACCAGACTAATCTCCCTGGCGCTTTGATGTCCGCAGTATCAAAAATGACCGGAAACACTGCTAAAAGCATTTGAGTATTTCCACACTTTGCGGAAAAGGTCTAATCAACGAACAGTTTCCTTTGTGAGTCGCACAAAGTGACTGAAAACAAAACAGCATATTGCTCCATCTGTGCTCCATCTGTATTGTTGAACGACCAAATGATTACGTATCAGGAAGTGCGATATACTGAACGGTGTAATCAGGATATACCTTATGGCATATACAGTTCGTTTGGGTTTGCCAAAAGGTAGGAACATATTAAAAATGCGACTGCTTGTGAGTAAGACATGGTAGAAGATTGCCCGTATGGTTAGTTGTACTTGAATGATCGACCAGAATTACCTCGGAAACTTACGACTAATTTCACGGTAATTACCGTTCATGAGATATTCATATTCGCTAATCTCTGACCTGGTGACTCATATGCTCGAACCATGCATGTTTATTTTCTCCACAAAGTTCTGATTTGATTCGCGGATTTTGACACCGAAGCATATAAGTACTCTCGAACAGGGTCCATAATGGATGAAGAGTAGATCCACCGACGCCTTTGTGTTTTGGTTTTCTTTCGTCGTGGCCAAGACAAGCTAATTTCCTCAATATTCATGAGCACGACGCCCAAGTTTTTCAGTGAGATCCGTTCCATCTATGGATCTCGTGTGATTAAAAGTAGATCCATGTTATTCAATGTGCTCTATGATAAGTAAAAGTTCAATATGCATGCGAATCGTTTAAGAATAGCGCCAACTTCCCCCTCCTCTAGTCTAATCTCCTTTAAAATGTCTCCACTGAAGCCTCTGTCATCTTTACAGTGACCATAATACAGTTCCGTAGTCTGAAAGTTCATTGCGCTTGTTTCAGTTTTTGTTACTCTCACCGCTGCACTGTTTTACCTCCAGTATACCTTGTGTTTCGCCCCTGAACTGTTTACGTTATCTCGGCTTTTGTCGGTTGTGCTACAGCAGACCACATTCGGAAAAGCATAAAGCTAAGTAGATTCTGAGATTGCTTCAAATACTCAACTGACTGTGTAATTTGCCTTGTAAATTCACCCCCCCCCTTTCCATGAAATCTAGCTGGATTTGAACGCGTTATCCCGATTAGTTCACTATCTATGTTCACCCCGAAGGAGTTGGGTCAGCTTATTTCCGGTGAGTCCAGTCCGGTTTGGAATGCTAAGGAATTGTGGACTCATTGTGAACCGGCTGCCGGGTACAATCGTAATTCCAAAGGATTTCTCATGCTCATCGAAACTCTGGCCAGTTTTGATACAATCGAGCGACGAGCTTTTCTTCGTTTTGTCACAGGTTGTCCAACTCTTCCACCCGGTGGAATTCGCAAT